CATTCGAAACGAAAATTATTTTCACAACAATTCATTTGCTAACGAACTATTCATTTCTTAGCTGAGTTGTGTTATTTTGAACAAAATTTTTGACCCCTACCTGACATTCCACAAGTACAAACAATTATACTAATGCACAATCTTATCTAGAAGAAACAATAAGCAACTGCTCATCGTCACAAAGAATGAAACGATCGTTTGTGAATGAATCGAGTAGCATCTAACTAAAGAAATATATCACACATGAATGAATATTTTGTAGGAATACAATTATACCTTAAAGAATATTGACGGATACGAAGCAAGAACAGATTCCAGCAATTCTAGTCCAAGCGTTCGCGTCATCTCTTGAATACCGATCAGCCAACACGGTTGGTCAGCATTTATCAGCAAACACAAATCCTTCAATGAACATATGATTCGACTCACTCACCAACCAAAATTACCATCAACAAATAACACACAACTCATCACGAAACAAACCCTGAACAGCATATACCCATCTGCAGCACATGGCCGTAACGAGGGTGGTGCAGCCCGGGCGTTCACTTTAACTGTCTGTCGAACTATCGGCAATTCACCACTTTTCATTCCGTCTTCCTGAAATAAATTCTCCTTATTGCTCCAACTGAAAATCCAAAAATCGTATCGTATCTAAACAACCCAAAGCACTCACCTGAATGACTCGCTCAAAAACACAGCTAACCATCTGCCTTACTGTAGCTGATGCTGTATTGATCACTATGGGATCTTTCGCGAAATTCAATCGAAAACACATCACAAGACACTGAAAAGGAGCTATTAATGAAGTGAAATGATCACATATAACACTGTCTTCTGCTTGCTTATCGTTCCAAAAATGCAATCACCCATATTAATCGAACAATTTGCTTAAATTAAATTCAGTGTTCTTCGCCACTAGGCATGGTGACACGATAACGAGCATCCGACAGGTGACTGATATATCATGGGGAAAAGTTTTTTAGGAATTCAACAGTTCCTATAATTGTGTTGTTGAAGTTGCCCAATGTAAGCAAACAATGAAATGACTTATACGATTGGATAAAGCGTATTGACACCAGACGAAATAAATGCTCACCTTGGCAAGCCACACGCCGTTCACGAGCAGTTCAGTGCTGACGAGGGGTGTGAGGGTTTGCAGAATACGCAATTCCTCACATTCGCACTCCATTAAATGCCATAACTCGTTTACAATTATCGGAGCTGACGCCTTTAAAATCAAATGAATCGTATTTCAGATTACTATTCAAAAAACAACAATTACTTAGCAATAATGAATCAGTTTCGATCAGAACATCAATAACAATAATAATAATAATATCGCGAATGAAGTCCCAAAAACAAAGAAACAAACCGGTTCAACAACTCGATGCTGCACCATCTTCTGAATGGCCTGCAACGAGATCTGCACCAGCCGTGCA